TCAGACAGAGACAAACACCTACAAGATCTCTGTCAAGCTTTCTTACAACTACAATACCCACCTGCAGAAGTAAAGAAACAGATTGATAGAGCCAGAAGAGTTCCCAGAAGTTACCTACTACAGGACAGGCCTAACAAAGAAAATAACAGAACGCCACTAGCGGTCACCTTCAGCCCCCAACTAAAACCCCTCCAACGCATTATTAAGGATCTACAACCTATCCTAAAGGATGACCCAACACTCTCACAAGTCTTGGGAGACAGGTCAGTCCTTGCCTACAGACAGCCCCCCAACCTGAAGCAAATACTCACCAACAACCACATACCACACAACAGAACCACTAACCCAGGAACTTATCCTTGCAACAAAGCCCGTTGCCAATTGTGCCCACATATCTATTCAGGGGACACCATCACAGGGCCTAATAACATCAGCCACACTATCAGAGGCTCGTTCACCTGCACATCCACCAATGTGATATATGCCATCATGTGCCAGCAATGCCCCTCTGCCATGTACATTGGTCAAACTGGACAGTCTCTACGTAAAAGAATAAATGGACACAAATCAGATGTCAAGAATTATAACATTCATAAACCAGTCGGAGAACACTTCAATCTCTCTGGTCACGCAATCACAGACATGAAGGTCGCTATCTTAAAACAAAAAAACTTCAAATCCAGACTCCAGCGAGAAACTGCTGAATTGGAATTCATTTGCAAATTGGATACTATTAATTTAGGCTTAAATAGAGACTGGGAGTGGCTAAGTCATTATGCAAGGTAGCCTGTTTCCTCTTGTTTTTTCCTACCCCCCCCCCCCAGATGTTCTGGTTTAACTTGGATTTAAACTTGGAGAGTGGTCAGTTTAGATGAGCTATTACCAGCAGGAGAGTGAGTTTGTGTGTGTATGGGGGTGGGGGGGATGTGAGAAAACCTGGATCTATGCAGGAAATAGCCCGACTTGATTATGTAAAGAGTTGTCACTTTGGATGGGCTAGCACCAGCAGGAGAGTGAATTTGTGGGGGGGGTGGAGGGTGAGAAAACCTGGATTTGTGCTGGAAATGGCCCACCTGTTGATCACTTTAGATAAGCTATTACCAGCAGGACAGTGGGGTGGGAGGAGGTATTGTTTCATATTCTCTGTGTGTATATAAAGTCTGCTGCAGTTTCCACGGTATGCATCTGATGAAGTGAGCTGTAGCTCACGAAAGCTCATGCTCAAATAAATTGGTTAGTCTCTAAGGTGCCACAAGTACTCCTTTTCTTTTTGTGAATACAGACTAACACGGCTGTTCCCTGAAACCTAGATTTAGACAGAGGTTCAAATGTTACCTTTAGAGATGGGCACAACCAGCAAAATTCTTATTAGGATTTCATACACACCAAAGCTCAGGACCTTCGAAATCTGCAGAATTCGTTTCAGCCAGCCTCTTGTTAGTTTTTATTTCAAAGCCATTTTGTAAATTTGCATATCTTTTTTTAAAGTAAGTATGGCACAATCAACAAGTCAGAAGAAAATTGAAGGCTTTGAGCTAGAATTTTTCCTAACAGCCATTGTAATGGGCAAATGGAGTGCAAAGCTGGTGGATATGGAAAACAAAGGTACCCAGTCAATCTAGAATCTGATAATATGCCTCCGTCTCAAGCTACCTTCTCATAAACAATAACAGCTTCAAATCTCTATCTTTTGCCTCTTCAGATCCTCCCAGGAAAGTACAAGATTTTTCAGTAATATTCTATTTCCAGCTACATAATATTTCATCCTTGTCAGGCTGAGTCGACAGGTAAAGACCATTCTTGCTCCAGACAGCACTAACATAGAGAATGACAGGTTTCAGGAGGTGTTGATATTTTGTTTAGGTTGCTGGTTGAGTGCATAAGATTGTCCAGTTGTTTCAGTTCATCACCACCCTTAACAAAGTGCTGGAAGTACTGAGAGCCCTAGTAATTCAGACTGAGTTGTACCTGTCAAGTATGCTAGAGGCCACCAAACTTGAGAATGAACAGTACAGTTGAGAATTCTAGTTTTCCCAGGACTTTAGCTTATTTGTGCCATTATCTCTTGCAGTATGTTCACTTGAAGTTGAACAGTCAATGAAAGCTCACTTATCTTAAACTGGTTCAATGCATATGAGAGCCTGAAGGGTTACAGTGAGTTCTGTTAAATGTGGCAACATACCGAAAATAAAACATGGGTGTTCTTTTGCTCTAGCTGAAAGCTTAAGACATAGGCATTCTAACCCATTAACACAGGTTATTATATGTACTGTGTGAAGTTAAAGATGACCTGCATAGACACAAAAAGGGGGTTGTGCCTCTTTTTTATTTTTAGTGATGATATTTGAAGCCTGAAAAGAGGCCTATTAAGAGGAAGTGTGGATTGTTCTAATTTTCGTTGTCTTTTACATTAGAAACTCAAGCTGTGACTACTGTTTTCCTGGAAGACACTCTGTGGATGACTGGAGAATCAGTAGAATTATGACATGGCCAGTACCAAGGAGTGAAACCTGAGCAACTGAGAGAACCCTTTTTCACTCCATTTAAAATTCAGCCAGTTGAGGGCGGGGGTGGGTACTTTCCTTATTAAAAAAACTAAAAATTTGACTCAAGCATCTGAAGAATATTTAGAAGGAAAGTTCCGATAAGGATTGAGAGAGCTTCCATTCGAGTCCTCTGGTCTGCCTAAAAACATGGAAGTCAAAAGTTCAATATTCTTGATGTTTCCAAGATTTGGAAACAAGCAGAGGGGAAAAAATATCTTTTCGGGGCTCTTTTGTACATCAAAAAATCCCACTGGCCCAAAAAATAAAATGCAAAATTAATGTTTCCTTTGCATGTAAACTTTGAGGCATGTACTTGTACTGACAGGGTCCCCTAAGCCACTGGAAAATGAACAAAAGGATGTTTTGAATTTTTTCTAGCTGGGCAGGCAATATTGTCTTGTGGTCTGAGCTGGAAAGTGGGAGTTAGGAGATCTGGCTTCTGTTTCCAGTTCTGCTGCTGATTCACTGTGTTTCATTGGGCACTGTTGTGCCTCAGTTTCCCCATCCATAAAATGGCGATAATGATACTGACCCACACGGTAACACACTTTGAGATCCCCAGATAAAAGATGCTGTACAAGTGCAAAATAATGTTGATTCATTTCTCATCCCTCTTACTTTGATGCTTTTATACTGCCGCTGAATGTGTCCAAGTAAAGATTCCTCAAATGTATTAAACTAATTTAGTTCTTGAGTCTGAATTAACAGTTGGCAAATCCAAGGTTCAACTGGCACCTAGACATTTAGCTGATTGTCCGACCCATCCCCATTTGAGGGCCCCTGTCTCTGAGCCCTCCATGGCCATCTCTCTTCATTCCATGACAGGCTTAGCAAAACTTTGTAGTCCCTTTCTGACACTTTCCCCAAGAGGCTACAAGCACACAGTACCCAGTGAAACCTCTAGCAAACTTCCAGCTCTCTGTGTTCTTCCTCCCTCTACCACCCTCTCTAGTCAGTGCTATAATGGATTGCTTTATGAGTGCTACATTTCCCCATGCACAGGATTAAGATTAAAGGAAACATTTCCCTTTCCCTGGACTTGCCATCCTCTACAGGCCAATCTTGCAAGGTGCAGAGCGCTTCTACCTGCACTCATATCAATGGGGCCAGTCCTGCTTCTGTTGGGGTTAATGGCTGCTTTGCCACTGACATCTGTGGGTACAGGATTGGGGCCAGTGGACATTAAATGGTGCTGAGCATACTGCAGAATTGGGCCCTAATATTTTTTTTTAGGGAAGAGGTTTTGTTGTTTCCAAATATTTTGTATCTGGAAATATTCCTTTGAATATACAGTAGTGAATTCCAGGGCTCTCCCAAGTGCAAGCACTCTGAAGAGTAGAGAGTAACCCTCTCACATTTCTTAAGAAACAGCACCCTCTAGGGGGCTGTAGTTCTATTACAACTGTACAGATACTGCTGTTTGCTGATCATTTATACTGTATCTTTATATATAAAAGTTCTCAGCCCCTGCCCTAAAACGCTGGAGTGTTGTGTCATGGATTTCGAACATAGATGCAGCAAAAAGAAATAACTGGATTGTGCCTGCCATACATATCTATTTGTCCCTGTAAATATGCTCCGATCTTCTGCAGCCACCTGCTGTGTAAGTAGCGTTTGAGACGGTCAATAATAATAGTTGGCACTAATACAGCAGCTTGTGTGAAATGATCTCTCTGATTCACACGCCATTCCTCCTCACAATACCTCTGGGGGGTAGGGAAAGCACTGTTGGCATTTCACAGATGAGGAATACAATCATGCAGAAAAGGAAAGGGACCTCCAAGCCCAGGAAGTGAGTTAGTTTCAGAGCTTAGGCTAGGAGCTAGGTCTCCTAATTCCCAGTCTTGTGCTCTAATCTTTTGTCATCTTTGTTTATGCTGATAAATTATCTTTGAACTGCAGGTTTTTTAAAAAAAATCCAGGCCATGATGATTGGTAAGCAGTAGGAGTGCAGGGAATTCTGCCATTCTGGATCACTGGGCTTTGTGGGAATAGTGTGGCACTAGCAAGTCTGAACTTTCATAAGTTGCAGATTCTAACAAGCTCAAAATCTCACTGTAAGACACAGTCAAACCCAGCAGATTTCACCTGGTTTTATGTCAAAAGCACATACCCTGCATGGTTTCAACGGGGAATCTACATCAGCCCAGACTCAAGCTAAAGGGTCCCAAACCACAGCCAACCTTTCAAGACTTCGTTTCAGGTTTGTAGTGAAGCTCCAAACCAGCAGAGGTTTGCATGCGATTTGGGCTTTTGCTGTAAATGCTTTGCATGACTCAAAATGACACCTGGATGACTGCAAAGAGGTGCTTAAGGACCTCTAAGAGTCTGCCCTGGCTTTCCAAGCACAGCTTCTTCACTTGGAATCTAAGCATCTCTTACTATCCAACTTTTGATAAATGAGCATTTTTCCTCCCAGCTGTTTGGAATTTTAGGCAAGAGATGGTTACTCACCCTGTGCAGTTGCTGAGATTCTTCGAGATGTGTCCTCCTGCGGGGGTCCCAGTGCCATTGATCAGAGATTTTCGGTAGCAGTGTCTGTCTGGGTCACACGCGCACAGTGATCATCTCGCAGCACCGTTGGTGCCTCATCTAACGTGCACAAGATCCGACACCCTCAGTTCCTTCTCAACCATCCTTGGCCTGAGACAGAGCACTGTAGCAGTGTCAATGAGAACCTAGGAAAAATAATTAGGAATAGTTAGAATTAATTAGTGACATTTAAGTTTTAGTTCGTTAATAGTTAGTTTCTCATCTTTTTTCCTTCTTTAAAAAAAAACACAACTAATTATTAGGTGCATCATCAGTGAGGGACTCTACCAGCTGTTAATTAAGCTTTCACCCAGCTGAAAATTCATATCCTGTGGGCTTGATCCTATAGCCTTCACTGAGGCTAATGAAAGTTTTGCCTGTATGAAAACTGCAGGATTCAAATCTGTATACCTTAGCAGAGTTTTTTATAAGGTCTCCTACAGTATTCTTGCCAGCAAGTTAAAGAAATGTGGATTGGATGAATGGACTATAAGGTAGATAGAAAGCTGGCTAGATTGTCAGGCTCAATGGGTAGTGATCAACAGCTCCATGTCTAGTTGGCAGCTGGTATCGAGCAGAGTGACCCAGGGGTCGGTTCTGGGGCCAGTTTTGTTCAACATCTTTATTAATGATCTGGATGATGGGATGGATTGCACTCTTAGCAAGTTCACGGATGATACTAAGCTGGGGAGAGAGGTAGATATGCTGGAGGGTAGGGATAGGGTCCAGAGTGACCTGGACAAATTGGAGGATTGGGCTAAAAGAAATCTGATGAGGTTCAACAAGGACAAGTGCAGAGTCCTGCACTTAGGAAGGAAGAATCCCATGCACCGCTACAGGTTGGGGACCGACTGGCTAAGCAGCAGTTCTGTAGAAAAGGACCTGGGGATTACATTGGACAAGAAGCTGGATATGAGTCAGCAGTGTGCCCTTGTTGCCAAGAAGGCCAATGGCATATTGGGCTGCATTAGTAGGAGCACTGCCAGCAGATCAAGGGAAGTGATCATTCCCCTCTATTCGGCATTGGTGAGGACACATCTGGAGTATTGTGTCCAGTTTTGGGCCCCTCCCTACAGAAAGGATGTGGACAAATGGGAGGGAGTCCAGCGGAGGGCAATGAAAATGATCAGTGGGCTGGGGCACACCACTTACGAGGGGAGGCTGAGGGAACTGGGCTTGTTTAGTCTGCAGAAGAGAAGAGTGAGGGGGGATTTGATAGCAGCCTTCAACTACCTGAAGGGGGATTCCAAAGAGGATGGTGCTCGGCTGTTCTCAGTGGTGGCAGATGACAGAACAAGGAGTAATGGTCTCAAGTTACAGTGGGGGAGGTCTAGGTTGGACATTAGGAAACACTGTTTCACTAGGGGAAAAAAAGGAGTACTTGTGGCACGTTACAGACTATTTCACTAGGAGGGTGGTGAAGCACTGGAATGGGTTCCCTAGGGAGGTGGTGGAATCTCCTTCCTTAGAAGATTTTAAGGCCCAGCTTGACAAAGCCCTGGCTGGGATGATTTAGTTGGGGATTGGTCCTGCTTTGAGCAGGGGGTTGGACTAGGTGACCTCCTGAGGTCTCTTCCAACCCTAATCTTCTATGATTCTATACCTCTAGTATATTGTTTTTTACTAAGCTTAAACAGCTAGAGAGCTGGATTTTCCTAATACCAAGAGACATAGATGGAGTCCATAAGTGGTAGGTACATGATCGTATCAAAAGAGAAATTCATTTGTAGTGCAGCAGGCCCTAATTCTTTCTTAGTAAATTGAAGACGCATTGATTTAATGATATTCTCTGTGTGTGTAGAGATGTATATAGCTATGACATTAGTGATGAACAGGGACTTTCATTCTGAGTTCCTAGTTTTGGTCACCTGGAGATTGTTTCTTGCATAGAAAAATGCTTGTCATGTTTTAAGGTGTGATTTTATTCAGAAAACATCCTAAAATTGGCACATTCTTACTATTGACTCTTACTTACTGGCTTTGTGTACCAGTCAGATCTGCTTGGTCAACTAACTTTAGGAACGAAAATAAGCTTTTATTGCTGCTTATTCCTGGCAGCCCTGCAGAGCCAGCCCAGCACAGAAATGGGGAGCTTGTGTACATCAGCAGAATTGGTTGGCAAGTTCCAATCGGTGACACGTGTGGAAACCCCCTGTACACAGTGTTGTTTTCCAGGCTTGACACAGGGCAACCATTTAACCTGCAGCTGCTTTAACTGGTTACAGTCAGTAAGAAAGACCCTAGCCTGACTCTCAAATCCCTGGCTAAGTTTTGTTGTTACTTGTGAACTGAGCGCATTTGATCTGGAAACACTGAGAGATCAAAAACGCGAAGCCCCACTGTGCCATTTTCACAGCCTCACTTTCAGAACTGCATGTGGGTGATTTTGTTTGTTTTGCTCAGGAATCTCAAAAACATTTTCATCTTAGACACATAATAGGGATGGGTCTGAACCAGAATGCCACATCCAAACCCTCCTCCGGAACTGTGCGGAAGTTCTGATCAGGTTCCATGCATTACAGTGGAGGAGCCTGTCTACTTAGCCTAAATTAAGCCCTTAATGTGTTTTGCCAGTGGAATAAGCTACTTGAGCAATACTGACAGAAATTCTCACGTGAGAGCAGACAGTCCTGAGCACATGCAGGAAGTTATTATTTTGCTGAGCTTCCACTGTATTGAGTTCCAGAGCCCCAGATATAATGCACAAGCCCTGGCTCTTGCAAATGGGATGTTGTGCAGCTCTTAGGCTAAATGCCTTTTATAGCCCCTGCCATTCATAACTGAACTCAGATGGCCACTGTGCAAGACCAAAATAAGGCTGCGTTGCCCCAGTTCATTGTGCCCAGCGTGTGGTTGTGGCTGGGTGTGTAGCATGCATTGGGAACCTCTGCAGAAAGCTATTCGGCAGCACTGTTATCAATCGTTTACACGGCACCGGCACCCGAAGGATCTGTATGGGTAGGTTCCTCCCTCATAAGCCTGTAGAATCCAAAGGGACTAACAGGACAATGCAACAGGGTTGCTAGTACATCATTTAGGGTTCTGGGTCTCATGATGTAAAACCTTCCTTCTTCCCCACAGCATGGTCTGTTTTTTGAAATGAGAGAGGTGGAGGAGAGTGCTGGCCATTCAGAAAGCTACAGAACTTTCTGTACCCTTCAGAAATAACAATGACAGAGAATCAGGCAACACATGGGAGTAGATAATCTGAAATCAGATCAATGAAATGAATGTACAGGGATGGTCAGTTCACAGGAACAGATTATTCTATCTGCAGCACTCGGTCGAAAGCTGTGTCAGGTGTGGTAGAGTACAGCCCCAGGATGAAACCTGGTTACCTGAGGAGGCTCCTGACACCATGTTAGGCAGCTGAATTTGCATATTTCTTCTAGAGCAGCAGATGCTGCATGCATCAGACCAAAGGGGAGCTGGGTGGGATGAAAAGAGAGTTAGGTCGAGGCCCTCCACGCTGACCAACTAGTTTCGCTGGCTTTGTTTTTCAGCACGCTGTGCTGAGCTGCAGATCCAGTTCACTGAAGCCGTTTCTACTGTTGCTGATCAGAAAGAGCTCATCACCAACCTGGAGCGTGACCTCAGCACTATCCAGTCCATGTCTTCGATGCATCGCCCTGATGCTGAGGTAATTCCAAAGGTTTCCTTCCAGTTGCTGACCCATTGATTACAAAAGCTTTATTTGCATTCAGTTCCTTTTCCTCTCCCCCACTTCTCTGCCTTCTAGCCCTTCTCCTTCCCCTTCTACTATTCCAGATACCGTACATCCCTCAAAATCTTCTCCATCATCCCACTCCCATCATCCTTAAAAACCTCTGTGCTACTCCAAGCTAGGCTCTCAGTTCTTCATTCTCTCTGCTGAGTTAACTGATCTATAAAAATATTTCCTGCTCTAGTTTCCCTAGGCCCCAGAATTCATCTCTGCCTCCTTATGCCCAACTCTAGAGTGTTCCCATTCCTCACAAGAGTTGAGGGCCACCACGAGGACCGTGGAGGGGTTGGCAAACCTTCTGAGAAGGATTTCAGCAATGATGGGGAAGCCTGTTGGGAAAACAGAAAGGAGGAATTTAAACCAAAATTTATCCTAACATTAAGAAAAGGTTCAGGTTTGAGATTTGGACAGAGGTGCCTTTTTCCTTGTTCGGCCCACCCTTATTGGGCTTGACACGTTAGAGCCATGTTTGCTCTCCTGATTTCCATTCTGATGTTTTCCTCACCCCAGACTCCAGTTCTCCCTGAGCTCTCTCAGATGCTTCTGGCGTCTGTTGTTTCAGAGTCTGCCTGCATTCTGCTTCTTTGCACATTTATATTCAGGCCTTTTAGGTGGGTTGAAACTTCATGCTGCTGGCTGGACTGAAGCACTGGGTACAGCCAACCGGAGTCAATGCAATGAAAATGTCCCTGGGGCAGGATATCAGAACTTTGACCATTGTCATTTCCACAGTTCAGCCCACGAATTTCATAATGTGTAGCCCTCGTTCCCAGAATATGGGAAAGCATAATCTTAAAACCACCACCAAAGAACCTGGTATGGGCCACAAGTGGGACAGGAGAATGCGTTTGATGAACTATTGCTCTGATCGGGTGTGGGGCTTCCTCACCTTCAGACCTGTGCTCCTCACCTACACTAAGAGTTCCTATTCACATCTGATTTCTCCACCCAGGGTGCTGCTGTTCACAGTCTAGAGACGATTCCAGACCCCATTAAGGAAGCTACAGCCCTCTTTTATGGTAAGAGCCTGGACTGAGTCCAGGTCGTGCTTTGCTGTTTGGTAGCTGTGTGTTCCAGGGAGTTCAGCACAGACACTGGGGCTTTACATACTATCTATGGAGTCCATACACCAGACACTGAACTTGCTGAGTACCTAACTGGGTCGCATTTGTAAGTAGTAAGTTAACCATGCAAGGGAAGCAGCTGTGTTATGGGAGATCCAGTTGAAGGGTGTGCTGAGGTTTGCTGAGGCACTCTACTGCAGACAGCTGGTGGGGATTCTCCGTTACCTTAACGGTCAGGACCTGTGCTTTCAGAGCTGAAGAATCCATTCTATCCTGACGCTCAAGGTGGCCATGGTGTGCAACATAACAGCCATTCATTCCGAAGTAGGCATGGACATTTTATTAAACTCTCCTTGGG